CCAAGAAGAGATTAGTAGCATAGCCATCCAGAAAGATATTGCAAAGTCCAAAACTTCCACCTTTTTCTCCAATGCCTAAACATGCAAGTCTGTGACCTTGAGCCTTCAGAGTTAATTTACAGATACAGTCATTGAGTAGAGGTACATCTCATGATCTACAAAGATACCAAAATATGAGAGTATTGCAGTAGACCTTGGGAGAGTTCCAATATATCATATTTCAGCAGCAACATATAGACTCCAGCCAACAGGTGACAGCAGAAAGGTTCCAGCAGCTCCTTTTGATGTAGAGGGAAGCACATCTGAGTATTGCGACACAGAAGAAAGGTCCTTGTGGGCTTTGGAGGGGCTTCTTTCCTGGCATGGCCAATGTGCAGAAATGCTGAGAGTTGTCAAAATATCTGGAGGGTAACAGGCTGGAGAAGGCTAAAGTGTACTGCTTGCTTCTGAGGGAAAAGATGGTGCTTTGCAGATGTTATATTATTATATGCTGCTTTGGGTCTATCTTTGATGGAGAAAAACAACATGGAAATTCTAAAAATATAAATATAAAAATAATGCTAGTGGGATGACCATCTGTTTTTCTGCGCTCATTGTTTGAAGACAACTGGCTACAGAACCAGCTCCTGGTTTTGCAGGAGACTTGAAGAAAATATCTTCAGTGGAACTCTTCTCCTTCAGCACCTTCACCACTGCCCTCTTCCTCTGAGCCCAGCCTGCAACACCATCCAGAACAAGAGGGCAAGCCTGCTATTCTCTCCTACCTTATCATTGTCCGCATGCTAGAAGCAGTCGGGTAAAGTGGTAAATGTTGAAGAAGATGGGGAGCAGGGCAGCAGAGTTGGCAGTTGGATCCCTGCTGGGGTACAGACCTTGGCACTTGCTCATCCATGCTGACCCCTGGCACCGTCTACCCTTAAATGTCTCTACTGCCCACTCATCCACTACTTTGTAGTGCTGCATTGGGAATTGCTCAAGGAAGTGTAATAGCATAAAATAAAATAAAATAAAATAAAATAAAATAAAATAAAATAAAAGGTCACTACAAAACAGAAGAATACACAGATTACCAAAACTGTTCATAGACTTTCCACAAAATCAGACACATGTGACTGAAGCAGCAGCTTTTACAGGGGCCCTCTCCCTCCTTATGTATACCTTCTCATGGCCATTGTCCCCTCTCCTCCTCTTTTTCATGACGACTATCACTTGCCTGCTCAACAGGCAGATAGGGAGCAGGGAGTGGCATGTGGGGCTGCCGCTTGACATCACTACTGTTGTCTGAGCCAGAGTGAGAAGCAGGGTGCAACAGTGAAGAGGAGGAGCTACTTCTGTCGACGGCCCCTGCTGGGATGTGGCTCTTGGCAGCTCCCCAGGCATGTCCCTTCGTGCCCTGAATGAGCGCAACCCTGACCTTAGGATGGTTGTGAACCATCAGCCCTTCAAACTGAACAACTTGACTCCAACACTGCAGTCTGACTCCCAGGGAAGTGTGTGTAGGGATACAGCCTATATTATACGCCAAGGATCACAGAATCTAAATAGTTGATGTAAAGGCACAATAAAATAAATTGTCATTTTGCACTTTGGGTATAGTTTCTCAAACATAATGTAATACTTATCTAAAGGTCAGAAAGGGCATCTAGATATATCAAGGATATTTGAAAAGAACATTTGAGAATGGAAACAGATTTGTTGAAGCCAGTATTCAGAATCCTGTGTTACCTTTAAGATTACTAACCAATTTACAATTGAGGAGGTTTTACTGCGTTTTTGCTTAAATAACAGGAAAAGCATAACCACAATTGGAAGTGTATGATGTTAATCTTTCAAGTTCTTCAGAGGTTAGAACTGAACACCTCTTTGTTGCGTCCTCTCCCTTGAAAATCTATAGAAAATTGCATTTTAATTGAATTACAACTGAAGGAAAGATAAACTATTTGCATGTTCATCATCATTGTTGTTGTTACTATTCAAGTTAAACAGGTGTACACTAGGGAAATTGTGCACCTTCAGCAGAATGGCAAGCCAGAGCCCAATGTTTTATTTTCCATTAGAGTGTTCCTCCTTTTGCTGATTTGTAATATGAAGCAGCAGCAAATTCAAAAAAATAATAAAGTAGTGTGATAAAAAAGTGAAGAGGTGTAGATTAAACTCACACATCCTTCTGCACTCAAAGATTCCATGTACAGAAAGAGCAAGTCTATCTATAGCTGTTTCTAGGGCAGTTGCTGCACTGTCTTAGAACAGGGCAGTGTGCTTGGATTCTGCTTCATTTCCAGGAAGTGTGACAACCCTTAACCTGACTTCACCCAAGGAAAATTAGCATAGGACACTGAAAGTCAGCTAGCTACATTCATCAGTCCTGCTCCATGCCCAGCAGTTCACCTCTTTCTGCAAAAGCAGCTACAGTTTTGGCATCCTTCTTAATACAGTATATTAAATGTTTGGCAGATGCAATGGACAGCATACGGTTTTATTATAGGCTTGGCTGTAATGCAACCTGAAACCCACATGTCAATCTCCTTCTCTTGAATTGCTATTTAAGCCTTGGACTTTACACTCCCAGCATATTTCCTTATGTGATAGCCCCAAGTCCTCCTCCAGCCTAGCTCTGCTTATGGCTGGCTCAGCATTCCTCCTATATTTAGGAAACCTGGACCATGAAATTCATGCTTGGCATAAAAATAGTGTATTTTAACATTTTAAATGATCTAGTCATTTCAACGTGTAGTCGTTTTAGGCAGATGACAAAAGCAAGAAATGACCCAGTTTCCACTGAGAACAGTGTTCTGGGATGCATGCCTAGCTTCCCAGAGTTGGCTACTTGTTTTATTACTTGTCTTTGCTCTCCATCAAAGCTGGTGAATTTTTGCTGAAATATGAAGTGTATCCCCTTGAATTTGACAGCCATTCTCTTCAGGAACTTCTGGTACCGACATACCTCTTCTGCTTTTCCATTGTCCTCGCTTGGCTTTGGCACACCTTGTGTCCTATACACTGTATGGGCTACTGTTCGTCTCTTTGTTACAGTTGTTGCCTGCCCAACATTGGGCTTTTTCCTGATATGCAGAATGTGGATCCTTCCACCTCAGAATCCAGTTCACAAACCACAACACAGAAAGAGTGCATGTGCCAGTACAGCTGCGCTTGCATGTGTGTGAGTGTGAGTTACCAGAGATGCTCTTTTACTATCACAGCTTAGTAACAGAGCATCTGAATACAAGTAAGAAGAGCAGCTAACTGGGTGCCCCTCAGCTGTGCTGGATTGTAACCTTCATATTTTCCAAAGCATATGAATTTAACTTTTTGTCAGTAGGCATGAGCAAACATTCTGCCTAGAAACTGAAATTGACAGTTCAGGGATGGGTGAGCTTAGTGATTTGCCCCAGTACTATGCAGTTCCTTGAAGCACCACCAGCTGGAAATGTTCTTAACACTTTCCCAGGAAAGTCTCATTCCTGACATATCAGATGCTGTATTATATGCTATTTTCAGCATCTGTAAGCCACCCAGAGAACCTTCAGGTAATGGGGTGGCATAGAAATGGAATGAAATAAATAAATAAAATTATAATCAAAACGGGAATGTGCAGCAATGAAGCTAACCAGGGACCTTGTGGCCAGGGCACAACAGACCGGCTTCCCCTGGCCATGATCACCCAGCAGCAGGTGATGTGGCACTGGCAAATGTACCTGTCGTCAGCACTTAGGTTGGCATGGGCATCTGTTTTAACTGCATTTTAACTGGGGGTATGCCTTTTTATGAAGTTACCAGTTCTGTCAGTTGCACATTTTATGTTGGTTTTAATGTTTTATTATTTGTAATCTTTGTTTTTATATTGTAGTTATGGTTTCATTGTTGTAACCTACCCAGGGACTCATTTGGCTAAGGGGATGGGTTAGATATCCAATGAATGAATGAATGTAGGGCCTACTGGAGCAGATGCTGTTTCCTGCAGCATCTTCTTTTAAACTTCTTATAGCCTGGGAACAGCCTGCTGGATCTGCGTACATCCACTTTATACTTGCTTGCTTTGAAATAAACACCCATTTCCTGCACAAGTGTAGAGACCTAGTGTGGTATAGTGGTTAAGAATGCAGGTCTGGGACTCAGGTGACCCGGGTTCTAGTTCCCGCTCAGCCATATATGTGCTTAGCACATGGCCAAGAGAAGCAAACTATTCTACTCCCAGCTTCCTGATGGTACTGATAGGACCAGTATGGTGTAGTGGTTGAGCATGCAGAGCTGGGACTCAGGAAATTTGGGTTCTGGTCCCCACTCAACCATGGAGCTCAGTGTGTGGCTTTGGACCAATCACAGACTCCCAGCCCAACCTACCTCGCAGGGCTGTTGTGCAGAGAATCTGGTAAGCCACCTTGTTTCTTGAAAGGAAATAAGGCGGGATATAAATGCAATGAATACATAAATATGTTTAAAATATGAAACTGCTCATGCTCAGAAGGTTTCTTTTTTTCTGGCAAGTTGGGTTTCGTTTATTTGCGTGTAGAAGCTGTTGTAAAGCATGGGATGGTGGTTAGAGGTAAAACGAAACGTCAGTAGTGTGCGTCTGATACTGCCTCTCCATCTTTAAAGTCGCTGAGGACGCGAGCCTATGCATCGTTAGACAGCAGGCTGGGACATGCTGGAAGCTGTAGAAGCCTATTTCTGCCTAAGCATGCATAGAATTACACCCTAATGCCAGTTTCTAAAATTACCTACCTTCGACTAACGACGTCGAAAGCACTCTGATTAACTCTGGGGCTATTCAGACATACATTGCTTCTATTGCCCCTCCCTCTTCTATTTCCTCTTCGTTCTTCTTAAGTTCGTCAGGTACAAGGAAAGGCGGGACTCCCCACTTCGACCATGGCAACTGTTAACCAATCAGTGCTCGGTACGAGTATTGCTCCAGGACCAATTACACGATGGCATTGCAAGATCCCGCTTCGCAGCCGTATTGGCCGGTGGCACGCAACGCGTACGGCGCGGAGTTCAACGCATGCGCAGTGCACAGGGTTTTGAGAAACCGGCTGCTGCGCTGACAGGGCCGCTGCTGTCCCTGGCCTAGCGTGAGGGGCTTGAATTCGGACCTGTAAATTCCGCGTTTCGCGTGTAGGCCCTTTTTCCGGTGCTGCAGCCGCTGCCGCCATGTTCCTCACTCGTTCCGAGTACGACAGGTGAGTGCGGCCAGGATAAAAGGGAGTGCGGCCTGGTCCTAGTCTGGGGCTGAGTCACTGCGGGCGGCCTGCTTGCCTGACTCGTTCTTCACATGCTGGCCGAAGACCCGGTAGTAGGGCGCGCATCCGTTCCTCTCGCCCACTTCTCCACCCGGTCTTTTGGCCAAGTTCGTGGTCTCCTGCTATGGGGGTCTATGGAGGAATGTGCGGGTGTCGGTTGCCTCATGCTTGTTTTCTTTGAGATCGAGGCGCTTCTACTCGACTTCCTGCATATGTATTTGAGAAATGGCGAATGATTTACCAGGGATAAAACGGTGATGATGGAGTTGTTTATGGTTGTGCTGGGGAACACTGGAAACAGATTTACAGACTTGGCGGCAAGTCCTATTGAAATTGATGAGCTTTAACTTCCAAGTAGATGGTTAGAACCGAGGTGCAGAAGCCTATCACAGCTGCAGCAGGTCATAGGTTGAGTGAAGCCCCCCTCTTCAGGTTTCCTGTAGTCCTTACGTCCTTTTGTTCAGCAAGAGGGATAAAAAAATAAGCATTGTGAAGGTTAAGCAGCAAAAGTTAGTTCTGCAGCAGTAATGTAGTGGCCCCTTGAATAGGAATGGATTTTTTCTTAATTGTTTAAGCGTACTATGCAAAAGTTGCACATTATTTTAATTGTAAGGTATGTAGGTTACAACAGCCCTGTTCTTATTAAGTCTTTGTATATTTCCAAAACTACATTTTGCTTTCTGTATGCATGCTTAGTGCTGGGAGGAGCCTGAGTTGTAGTGGAGGTGCTTGTTTCCCATTCTCAAACTCTTTGCTATTCATAAACTAGCTTGATACTTGTCAATAGCTTTAATGTTGGCAAAGTTTTAAATAGTTCATGTTCCTAGCAGGCATTAGCAAACTCTATTGTGAAATTGCAGTATAGTCATGTATTATCTGAACTAGAGTGTAGTCAAGGCCTTAGCTAGTTTCCTTAGTCATTGTGAAGACTCTTCACGCTTTTGCTTTCACTTACACTATGTTTGGCAGAGCTTTTGAATGAGTCACCCCATTTGATCAATTGAAGCTAAACTATTTTTCTTATAAGGTGATAACCAGGCAAACTTATGGAGAAAGTCTCAAATGTTTTTGAAAGGTGCCAGGTAACATTAATTGGGCAAATAAGAGGTCCACTCCATTAGGTTCTCACACAACATAAGGAAGCCTCTGAACATCCTAAGCCCTACTACTTAGATAAGAGGAGCAACCAAAGTTATGTTCACCCCTCAGTTCTTGGGTGCTGTTTTTTGTTTTACATTTTTCTCTAGATGGACTTCTGTGTCCATCTAGTGTAGTTGCATTTCTAGGGGCAGGGATGGAGAGGCCATACAATCTTGCATATTTCTTCCGCTCTCACTGGAACACTCCCTTTTTGATTTCTCTAGTTGTTTTTGAAACCTCAGAAAGGAGACATGATAGTTCTTTTACAAGCAGCTGTAGTAGGGCAGGAACATGTTATCTGTTCTTGGAATTTCCTTCCCAAAACCATACCAATACCTGTGGTTTCAAGAGGAGAAATCCAAAAAATCTTTTTGTTCCTGGGACATTCTCAACCTAAAGGTAAAATCCTGTGTTGGCTAAACACTGTCTAGACAAGCAGAGGATAGGTCACAGTCACATCTCCAGCCTTGAAATTACTTTCCAAAGTTGGAGCTGCAGCTTCTCTCAGAGCATCTTCCCTCCACTGTAACAAATACAGTATCTTTCACATTGACTGCAACTCAGAAGTAACCAGTGCAGCTTTGGAGTTGGTGCTGTGGGGAGGAGCAAGGCTCCACTGAGATACAAGGAATCCCAGCGGTGCCTCAGTACCTCCTCTTTGCAAAATCCATCATCTGCATCTTCTGCAGCACAGCAGAACCACTGAGGAAAATTCTTGTGTTTCTTCCATGCTTGGTTGGATGTCCATAATCCTCTAAGTTTGGAAGGCTTTGAGCAGCCATATTGGATAGCTCCCTTAAATTGATATGTTTATTACATTTCCATATTGCTCAATATCTGATGCTCTCTGGGCAGTTCACAGCAGTTAAAATATAACATGTAACATGCAAAAATATAAAATTTAAAACTGCAACATAAAATAAAACTCAAGTATTAACTGCCAAATACACATTGCCAAATACCTTGAGGTACTTGCTTGAAAGACAATTCCACTATCTTATTGGGAGGTCTGCCTTACAAATTTACTTCACAGTCTAGTTTTGGTTCACATTTTGCCCTTCCCAAGGCTATAAGCTGCAAAATGCTAGCGTACCCCAGATTAACTTTATGTTACTTCTGGAGCATTGTTTGGATTTGACAAACCTTCCAGGGAAAGTTAGTCTGGAGTTTCTTTAACTAGTCCTGATGTTCATAGGGAATGCTAAGGAGGATTTTTCTTCTTACAAGCTAGCTTTGATGGCATAGCTTGATGTAGCACGTTCACATCAGTGTAGCTGACTTTTCCCAACCTGTCATTGCTAACTCTACAGAGAAAGTGGCAAAATACTAACTCAAAGCTAAGAAACAGCTATTGTGCATTTCTAAACTATGGTGCAAGTGCTAGCATTGCATTGCTTCATGAATAAAATAATTGAGTTTCTCTCGATATACATTTGAGTTATAGTAAAACTGGTGATTAGATATGTATGCATCAGTATCCCTATCTACTCACTGATAGAAACATGCTCAGTTTTATCTCATGCTGTTGGTTATTATGTATACTTTATTCTTTTAATCTTTTGTATATCTCCCAGAGAATGTTGGTGGTTGGGCAGTTTAGAAATGTAAGTAATCATCATCATCCCATAGTGTTATGACTTGGCACCATTGGACAGTATCCAGTGCCAGTAATGCACCAGTGAAACCTACCACAAGCACAATGGAAATCCAGCACTTCCAAGCAACTTCAGAAATGAGCTGAAACATTGTTTCTGATTAGGGCAGGTCAGAGGAACTTGCAAAAAGAAAATCCATTGACCTATCCCTTTCAGCACATTTCCAGGGTTGCTTTAGGAAATGCTAACTTCCAGTTGTGCTAGTGGTTTGTCCTACTGGTACAACAATGTACAGGTACAGTGGCAGTATTTGATACTGCTCCTTAGTTGTATTGAATAAGTTATTTTTGGATACTACCAATAAGTTACTCCTGGATACTGTAATTTGGCTTGTAATTTGACTTGCTGTAATTCTAAAATCACAATTCTGAAGAAGAATACACTGGATGAGGTGGTAAATTGGGTCTTTTTTCCTTACAATTGTAGGGGTGTGAACACTTTTTCTCCAGAGGGAAGACTATTCCAGGTGGAATATGCTATTGAAGCTATAAAGGTACAATAAACATTTCAAACATATTTTGTTAAAAGCTTTAACCTGTTGAACTAAGCTGGATGAATTGGAATAGGAAATCTCAAAACAGTGGGAAGGCCAAAGTGTATAATATGAGCATTATTACCCCAAACTTGTACTATCAGTTTGGAGTGAAGAAGGTAGCACAGGCACAGAAAAACCTTCCAAAATATTGGTTTTTCTGCTTGGAGCTGGCTTGTGTTGAACTGTATCCTGCAGCATATAGCTTGGGTACCTGTAAAAAGTTTAAGGAAAACAGTTAATATCTATACACCTTGATGTAACCTGGTATGTTTAAAATTCACCTGTGTTGAATAGATACGTAGTATTCTTCTGCACAATATGCCAAACACCCATCTCAGTCAAAATATCAATTACTAAGGTCAATAACTTCAGTTCAAGAGCAGGAAAAGTTAAACACTCCTTGTGAACTCCATATGGTAATTGGATGGAGACGGTGGCAACGCAACACAAAGGCAAATTACACTGCACCAGCCTGAGGGTTGTCTTGTACAATGCTACTAGCACACAGCAGTTAAGATAGGCTTTCTACTGATTGTAATAACTTTAATACTATTTCAGAAAACCTATTTTCTAACTAAAACTTTTCGTATGAAATATTGGTATACTTTGTATAAGTATATTTTGTTTCTTATAGCAGATTTACAAGCTGCAGATTGGGTTTGTTTTTATGTCTTTATTTTACTGTACAGTGAGCTTAAAGGCCAGTTCACAGTTACTTTTCTTTGATAAGTGATAAGAATGGAGAAATGTAGTTGGGAGAACTGGGTGTCTTTGTAGCAATTTCAGTGAAGTTGAAGGTATGTTTCAGGGCAGAGATGTACGTAACTACTGATCTAAAATCCTGACTCGCCTGTTACATTAGCCATATATGTGCAGGCTTTGACATTTTTAGTGACCGAGCTTGTCATGGTGACTCTGCTGCCATCCTATGGTGAATTTGACAAATGTCCAGCTTTCTTCACAACATTGAAGCTGCAGAGATGGATGGAATAATCCTCACAATTGTGCAGCTTGCTTGAGAGCAGTAAATCCTAAAAGCTCCCCACTGCATGCATACCTCACCTCCAAGTGCTTAAAGCCAGCATGCTCTGAACCTGCCTTTTTCACAGGAAATGCTAGCAGAGGGCTGTCTTGGAAGCAGCTGGGGCAGCAGCCAGGCTTGCATGCTCCCTGCCTTCCTTTTCAGCTGGAAAGTATGTGAGTGTGAAGAGAGGGGCAGGGTTTTCCTTATAGGGTAGGAAAATTGACAATCATCATTTCTGGAGTTTAGCTGACAAAAGCAGTAAAAAGATTGGAACCCCCATCTGCTATGAAATCTGATCTCTTACAAATCACCTTCCAAGTTGGACTTAAGCTTTAATGGGAGTAACTGAGTTGTAGATGTAACCAGGCCGGCTTTGGAGTAATTAACCTTTCCTGTTTGAATGTATTTAAGGGCTTTTTACATTTTCCCATTTATTTGCAAAGCAAAATGGTAAGGTGACATGTTTAAACTTCTCAAATTAACTGCATATATGTATCTGGCAAATTAGTGCTGTGAAAGCCAATGTCACCAATGCTCCAACAGTATGAGGAATACGGGTTTAATTCTCAGGAGTATGGGTTTAATACACTATTAACATGGACAGTGTATAGCTTTCTTACAAAATTCTGGAATTGGTAATCACAAATGACGTGGGTTAAGATGAGCATTCCTCCAAATATATAGATGAGATTCATTGTTCTGTTAAATGTTAAGTGATTTGGAAGTCATGATCTTTTTCTTTTTACACTTTTTAAAAGCTTGGTTCCACAGCAATTGGGATTCAGACATCAGAAGGGGTTTGCCTGGCTGTGGAGAAGAGAATCACCTCACCACTTATGGAGCCCAGCAGTATTGAGAAAATTGTAGAAATTGATTCTCACATAGGTAAGAGTAATACAATCTTATTTATGCCTATAGTGAATTGCAACATGCCCATTAATAAAATCTTTTCCCTGTGAGTCTAATGAGAAATATCCTGCAGTACAGGACACAGAGCTATGTGTATACTTTGTTTGGTGGGGAATGAATATTTAATGGTAGTGGTCACTGGTTTTCCAGGCTCTGAGCCAGCAGGACATAGCTGCAGGAGTAGGAAGCAGCAGCTGTACCTCACTTCTGTTTGACCTCACTAATGAAAGCTTGTCCCCAAATTTAGAATCTGGAGGGCAGGGAGTTGCAATGTAAATGCTTGATCCTCAGCCAGCTTCTGTGCTGGAACTTCACTGATTGGACCACTAATGTTAGCATGTTCTCTGTGCTCAAGTCAGTGTCTTGCATAGGCACGCACAGCACACACACTCCTTGAGAACTAGAGCTTGTTCCTGAGGGCTTAATTTTGTAACAAATTTTCCAGTGATCCTCATACAGCCTTTCCCCACTCTTTACTAGTAGTAGAGCAAGCTGTATTAGGATCTCTGGGAGAAGGAATGAAGAAATTGGTAGGAATGATTGGCTCATCATGGCACCTAGTGGGGGGCAGTAAGAACCTTGAGGGGGGAAGGGTCTGCAGATTTATAGTTATCAGCACAAATATGATTTGTCACTAGGACAGCATTAATTCTTTGATGGGTACAGGTAGAAGACATTCTTAGGCCATCTACATTTTTTAACCAGTTCTAAGAAAGGAACACCAGCATTATTCTATGTCTCTAATACATGAAGACAACTGATAAACTTATTTGTATACTATCGATGTTTATTGTCATTTAACTGTTGGCATTCCTTCCTCGTGGATATGCTCGGAGCACAGTTCTAGTTTCAGATTGGTCCTGCCTCAAGCTTCTGAGATGTGAATGAGTTTTTTTTAAAACCTTAATGCCAGAGTGAAGTTGAGTGGTTTTATTGAATCCAACTTGTCATCTCTAATCCATAAAAATAGGCAGTGCCCGTGCAGTGAAATATGAATGCATTTTATCAAGCAGGTTCTATGGACTCTTGCCTAGAGTTCCAAAACACAGAGGAATAAAAAGAAATGCTGGCTTTGACTGAAGATAGAGGGGAGTGATGAAGAGGCTGGCTTATTTCTTCTTCTGGGTGGAAAACTAGTATCAGTCAGCTATAACTATTTGAAGGATGGCATTTCAGATTACAGATGATTTGCATTCTATTCTCCTTTGTCTTCCAGCTATTGAGACTTAACATTGTGAAGTGTAGGGAATGTTTGTTTCATGGAAAGTTGAATTTATCTTGTCAGATAATGCTCTGAAGGTTGATTTATGATTACTTCTTGTATCTCCTCACTTTTCCCCAGGTTGTGCAATGAGTGGCTTAATAGCTGATGCAAAGACATTAATTGACAAAGCAAGAGTTGAGACACAGGTGACACTTAAATACTGATTTTTAAAGAGTCTCTCTACTTACTCACCTCTCATTCCTTCTGTTAGTATTCCAGCTATTAGTTGTGTTGAAATAAAATACTCTATTCAAACCAATGAGCTCTGTAATCTTTCTAGACTAACTATATACAAGTTTTCCTTGAATGTTTTCTGGAAGGACTGAGAAGCCCTTTAAAGTCAGTCTAACTGTGAATAAGCTACTTCTCTGAGTGCCTTTGGTGCAGCTCATCCAATGTTTAAATAATCAAAACAGAAGATTCTGATTCTATGACTGGGATCAGTACATTCAACTCTCTTCCATGTAGTTAAATCACTTTAAACTATAGCCTGCACATGGAAGCTCCTCATGGAAATATGGTTTCTATAGACATTTGAGAGGATCGTAGGTAAGCATGCATTGGAATGCTATAGAGTAGTGGTTCTCATCATAGGCTGTATGGCCCCAGGGGGCCATGCCATATTTCTAGGGGGCCACCCAAACTTAACTGCTAGGCAAATGATCAGTTTGTTGTGGTCCTCATATCTCATTCTCTGTGCTAATTTCAACTGCATAATTACTAAATTACTACAGTTTAAGTATCTTAATGAAAAAGGTACTCTTTAATTGATATTTTATGTTAATTAGAAACCAGTTTAGATAGTACAGTACCCTTTTTCCAGCTAACAGCAACTATGGGGAGGGTCACAGAGGTAAGTGAGGCTCAGATGGGGGCTATAAGCAAAAAAAATTGAGTAACAGAGTATTACATCTTGGTCTGGTGGCTGAACTTTATGGTGCATAGCTATACTAAAAATAATGACCAACTGGTAGTCAATGAACCGTATTATGCTCTTGACCCAATTCATCCCATCTCCCTCTTGAAAGGACAATGGAATTGGTATGTGAATTGGTTGTGCAGTTCCTCATATTTAACAACCCCAGTGCTGTTTGGAAATTATCTCATTTTGCTTTGGAGGGGGATGGGGTACTTACGTCAAGCCAGAGATGGCACACCATCTGGCTTGACATACCAGTAGCAAATGTTGCTTTGGGAAAGGTGTGTTGGAGAATGGTTTTATCTCCTCTGGCCCCAAGTGTTTTTTGAGGAAATTGGAAAAAATCCCCAGTTTTTTCAGGGTATTTGCCCCTTAGATGAAGAAATTGACTATTTCCCATTGTGAAAGTAAAATTATAAGATTCTTTGTTTTGTTAGTACATTGAGTCAGATGTGTTCTGTCAAAGATTAATATATTGTGTGTGGGGGGGGACTACAATAGAAGAGATAAATAGATCGAACTCTTCTTTGTTTCCATTCCAGAATCACTGGTTTACGTACAATGAAACCATGACTGTAGAAAGTGTGACACAGGCAGTGTCCAATTTAGCATTACAGTTTGGAGAAGAGGATGCTGATCCAGGTGCTATGGTGAGTAGATGTTTGTAACAATTATATTCTGAATATACAGTTTTGGCAATTGCATAACCCAGTGGCTCAGTCATTAAACTCTTGATCCTTGTGTATGTGCGTATTTTTCAGTCAAGGCCATTTGGTGTGGCACTACTCTTTGGAGGAGTTGATGAAAAGGGACCTCAGCTGTAAGTTTGTTCTTTGCTTCTTCACTCTGGTTCATGTATATTCTAGTGCAGAGTGTCTTTCCACAATACCACTCTTCAGGCAGGAAACAGAGCACCCTAAAATTGTGCAACAAGCTGTGTGTAAGCAAGGGAGCTAACAGATATCCTATGAACTCCTGTGTCATTAAAGAAGCATTTGATTGCTGATGTGAGCTGATTCAGCCTCTAGCCTTCTTGAGCTGGTATCTGTCACCATAATTAAAGGTGGAGTAGAAATAAATGCAAAACTATAATCCAAGCACATAAATTGTCAGAGGCAATAAGATGAAGCTAGTGTTAGAAACTACATACCTGTAAATCACTTTGAGGTTTCTTGATCATTGCAGAGTGAACCATAGTGGTGCAAACTAATGTTCCTGATACGGTGAAGTAGCCTGTAATGATGGAAATGTAGTTGACAGGCAGCATCACATGACTGGTTTGCCTTTGGTAGATTCCTTTGCAGCTATGCTGATAGGAGCTACTGTGTGCTGATGCAGTTACGCTTGTCTGTATGATTGGACTGCAACCGTTTCCATAGATACAGATAATGTAGTACAAAAAAACCCACATTCATGTTTGAGTAAATAAAAGTTCAGAGTGAACAGTGGAAAGTGTAAATATTCCTTAGTCCTTTCAGAAGGACTAGCAGAGCCACTGGTAACATAATATATGTCGTCTGCAGTGGCATTCCTTAGGTGGGGTTGAGACAGCTCTTGTAACCAGAAGCTCCTACACTTCAGAGTTCCAAGCTCTCTTTAAAGGAGCAAGCCTTGCTGAATTTCATAGGAGAGGCAGCTCACTTAAAATGGTATGAGTGAACTTACCCAATTTAAAGGCGTAAAAAGCAATCTGAGTTTTCTGGCAATTTCCCCAAATCTGTTTGGATTCAAAGTGTCCTATGTGTGAGCAAAAGGCATTTCAGTCACCGGGCTATGTAAATGACATGATGTTCTGGAGGTTGCCTCAACTCTGATAAATATATATTTAGGGGAGTGTCATGTATTGAAAGAGTGTTGGGACAGCCACATTCATATGCAGAGCATCGTGTAATGTTTTCTAGAGCCAATCCATCTAATATATCTATAGACAACTCAACTAGTCTCCCTGTTGTATTGGATATAACATGTTGGCAGATGTGCACGTGTGTGTACACTCTCGCATGCATACTGTGTTCCTGCCATGAATCTTACACTGAGCTTCTCTTGACTTCCACCTGTAAGCCAGAGAGTATGCTAAAAAGTATGCAAATCTTTTCTAGGAAACCTCCCTGACATACGAATCTCCTGCTTATCTTGTATAGGTTTCATATGGACCCTTCTGGGACATTTGTACAATGTGATGCAAGAGCAATTGGATCAGCTTCAGAAGGTGCACAAAGCTCTTTGCAAGAGGTTTATCACAAGGTAATAAGATATCTAAAAATAATATCTTGGTTGGCTTTTTGGCCCCCGAAAACACTTCTTATTGTAGCTTCCTAGTGAAAGAATGGTGGTAAAGAAGTCAAGAATAGCATTCCTTGAGACATTATCCACATGACAAACTATTCTATGAGTGATACTATCTGTCCTTAATCTGTGTAAAAGTAATGTAGTAAAACAGTTGTAGCCTTTTCTTGGGGAATGAAGTGTTCCCAGTAGATCAAGTCATCTTTGCTCTGCTTGTAGAATGCATGGCATAAATACGTAGCTCACACAAACTTCTAGGAAGTATCATTATAGATACAATTGTCTACCTGAATTGTCTACCTTATGAAAAGAAAATGAACCAAAGATTTGGGATAAGGCTTACCATATCTAGAAAATGAAATGGATATTTCATTGCCTGAATAAATACCAGGTTAACAAAATTCGCTTTGTATCTGGAAGCCTCAGTCATGTAGAACTTTTCTAGAAATATTTGTTATAAGGGAATTGCATTATTGGAATATTAAAATAATTGTTGTGCCAGTATATTGGACCTGATAGCCACAATGCTTACCTTTCCTGTAGATGTACTTCTAAGATACTAAGAAGCAACAATTAGATTTCTAACCTATGCATTTAAGAGAATTATTATTTCTGTACCACTCAATTGCCAGAGCTCTCTGGGTAGTTTACAAAACTATACAGTAAGCTACTATACAAATATCTAAAATAGAAGCATTTAAAAACAAAAACAGCTAAAACATTTGATAGAAGGTAGACCTGTAAAACACTTGACATGGGTAAACTAGTCAAGCTTTAAATGCCTCAATCTTGCTTTGTCAGTATTCAGTTATAAAATGTCATAAGCCTCTCAAATGTATAGTTATTTTCCTAGTTAGGAACAGTGTCCTAGCATGAGCAAAGGATTCTAAGAATATTTATCAAAGGATCAATAATTAATATAAATGCATCAGTTTGTTCTAAACCATCCTGTGGAACAGTGGTCCTATCTGGCCATTAATTTTGTATATGATAGTTCATTAGACAGAACACAACTTCTTGTTCACTGTTTTTAGCATTTGCAGCTCTAGAAAGAGTTGTTCAATCTGTTGCCCACAGAGATACCTTAAGTGTGGAAAGTGAAAACAGTCTTCCTGTGGCAGGTATCATAAATGTGCTACCGATAATTTTCACGACTTCTGTTAACAGTCAATGACACTGAAAGAAGCAATCAAGTCATCCCTTATCATTCTAAAGCAAGTTATGGAAGAAAAACTGAATGCAACTAACATTGAGGTATGTATTTTGTTCTCTTGAGAAAGATAAGCATTTTCCACTAGTATCCAGTGTAAGAGAATTTGAACAGAGATGGTAGTGGCTTAGATTTGTCATATGATGCCCCTTAGTTAACTACTGGGTCTTCATATGAGGTTGTATGCTATTGCTATATGTGAAATTTTTCTGCCTATCACTGCTGCTTTGATATTCTCTAGCCTTGAAATTAGAGTTCTGCTATCCTCTTGCCCAAATGATAACAGCCTTAACTTAGTCCAACTTCTTAATATTTTGCTGCTTATTAAGAATTTGTTCTCTGTATTACTAGCTGGAGACAGTGATGGGTTTGCATGACATGGCAAACAATCAATGATAACAGTCAACTATTGGTTTGTGGTGCATTACAAACCCTGCATAAGTTACCCACACTGAGTAAGGTTTTCTTTTTCCCCACAAAATACCTGTGATGAGAACCTATTAGTTTTGGAGATTTCTTTTTACCAAGGTGTGGTGCTGTATAATCTGATGACTGATCCTACCATGTGTGAAGACTCACTCATCACGGGCGACAAGAAGCCCTTTGCCACTCCTGAGTTAGCACTGACTTCCTCTCCTGCCTGCAGTGATATGGAGCCATTTTGGGTTTGCTGCAGTTTTGGAGGAGCTTGTGAAACCCAGTTTGACAGCTGGTTTTTCTGATCCCCATTTGGGTAGCCACAAACTGCCCCTTCAGAGTGCCCTAGCATCACTTTAAAGGGAATGTCCATGGCCATCCAATTTTTTTTAATTTTAAAATTAATGTTTAATCCCATTTGTGAAAAGCACCATTCTGCTGAAGTGCAAATGGGTATGGTTTAAGCCTGATCTGGGGAAATGTGTAGGGGAGGATGTTGCCTGCTGCCCTCACTCAGCTCAGACTGGACCACCATATTCACCTTCTACCCCAACTTTCACTCAGCAGGGTTCATGAAGCCTGTCTGTCTTGTGCTATCTTGATGAATTTCTCCTTCCTACCCTTTTCAGTAAGATCTTTCAACTTTTCCTTTTCTCTGCCTTTACTACCCAAGGGGGAGCCACTTTTGCACTTTCCCCTGATTCTGTAGGGGCTGGAAAAAGATTAAAAGTTCACCCACCCTCTTTTTAAAGGGAAGCTCAGTTTGGCAGTTCACTGATGCTGGGAATGAGACGGGTATTTGTTCTTAGTGTGCATTCCCAGCTCATGCCAATCTAGACTCTTGAGTCAGAGGAGGAGGAGGCAGTGGCGGAGGGAGCCTGAGAAAGTGGGGCTCCAGATGTTGAGATGAGAAAAGTGGAGGCACTTAGCTCAAGGTCATCTTCCCAGAGTGCTCAGACAGCCTCTCAGAATAACCAAAATGCACAGCTGTTGGGTGGGGGCATGGAAGAGGAGCTCTCAGAATCAGATAAAGCTAGTATGACTTTTGATTCCATTATACAGTGTGTTGGGCAAGGATGACTAGCCAACAAGTGAGTTGCTTTACAGAGAAAAGATGTGCTTGCTTCCAGAAGGGCCCTCCCAAGAGGAATTGGCTAAATATACTCAAAAGGAGGGTTTCTGGAAGTGGTTGTTAGATTGGGTCCAATGAACCGCACTGGGCATTCTCAAAGATTCTTTCTGAAGTGACTGTGTGTAGTAGATACACTTTTGGTGACTAAAGAACATTTGCAAAGGAAGGCATTAACTCCTTTTAAAAATTGTGAGTTTGAGCAGGAACTGGTTTGGTTTTGACTGAGCTATAACTCTGATCAGTCTCAGTTGAAATCTCAAAGATTGTAATTTGGATTTTTAAACATATATTTTCATCAAGAAGCAAATGCTACATACAATGTAGGAAAAAACTTTGCTGCTTACTAGTACACAGTGATTTTCTATAGCTAAGTCTATCTCAAGGTGTAATCCTTTTATCTAAAACAGGGATAAGGAATATGTACCCTTCCAGATGACATCTGATTGTCATTCCTATTAATCCTCATTGTTGGCCATGCCAAATAGAGCTGTTAGTTCACTATCCCTGATTTAAGACAAAAAATTAAACATTGCACCATCACCATAATAAGAATAACTTTGCTGAATTAGTGCAAATGACCACCTTGTTTAAGATTCTGTTTCCCATGGTGGTTAACTGGTTATTATATTTACTTGTTGTGCAGTAACTGATGTTCAGTGGCATACGGCCTCTGAGCCTCAAGAGTTTCCTTTCTAATTATGTTGTCTTCACATATAATTTAGTGACAAGTTTTGTTTTGCAGGTTATGTGGGTTACAGATTCATGAACCAGAACTTAATAAAGGCTGGGGCCATGGCTGAGCCACCATTCGCTAATCATCATTAAATTGTTTTTTTTTTTTAAATTACATTATGACTTCCCACATTATGCAGATTTTAAGAGTGTTTTACAAGTGAAACAATTACAATCAGTTAAATTAAGACAAACATTGAATCCTCCTGGTAAACACCAAGAGTGCAAAGTATTGAAATTACAATAACCCTAGTAACAAGCTAGACATACTACTGATGATAAAATCATAAAGGGATCAGCCTCAAATCCCAAACACCTGCCAGTCTATTAAAAAACAACAAAATGATCCAACAGCACTAATGCTTCATATCTGAATCCTTAAGTAGATGTGACATCCCTCCACCCAGAATAGGCAAACAACCAAGCCCTTGATCAGCCAGCCTTCTACTGTTGATATCTCTCTATTGCCTGAATTCAGCTTCCATTTATTCACCATCATCCCATTCATTAGTGTCTGCTGGCAAACAGAACATACACAGCCTGACTTTACTTGATTTATTTAAAAAAAGTAAGGAAAGAGAGCTGAGCCTTAATAATGGACTGTTGACTCCTCAGCTGAAATCTCTGGATAACATCTCTCAGCAGATTCTTTTTAAATATTGATAATGGGAAAAGATTGAGCCCTGCAGGGCCCTAAAAGGTGATATTATAAGTTCCAACACCACATTTCCAACAGGTAGGAACAGAGCCAGAGCAAAACTGATCCCTCCAAGCTGGTGTACATTGCTTAATCATTTCTGTAGAAGGAACAGAGTTATGGCTTATGACTCCAGTTTGTCTAGGGGTAGCCAAGCTTAACTTCCTAATTAGTACTTCATGATAAAGAAACCAAGGACAGAAGAACTGTAGATTGTTTGGCCACTCCCATTTGTAGGAGCAGCTGAGCAGAGGATCATCAAACAGTGTACAGTTACTTATTCACAGTAAGCTGGAATGCTTTAGAATCTGAGCTTGTGAGGTACAGACATGGCTTATATATATGAGGCATTTTAAATAGTGTGAAGATGCATCCAGTGGTGTCATTGTACAACCTTGCATAGCGCTAGTATATCTCTGCTGAATCTTTCAGTTGCACAAGGATTTGCTTTACCAGCCAATTGCACTAGTGAAACTTAGCTTGGATTCTCCTCTTGCACCTGGTTTGGGACATATTTTCAGTAGTGTAACATCATTTGTGCTAGTGGAATGCCAGTTGGATACTGCCACATATAAACATTAGCCTGTGGTGATATTGAAAAACTGAAAATGTTCCATCTTTATTGGCTGCTTTCTGTTGCCATCCAGGTTACCTCAGTTTTTTGAAATTTCAGTAATATGTAAAACCAAACAAAAACCCTTTCTAAAGCTTTTACATTTGATATAATAACATAGCTATAGTTCCCAAATCTATTTCTTGACTGTGCATTGTGTTACACATTTGGAAGAGATGACAATGTCCTCATGAGCTGAAGGAAATTGCTCCTTCTTTCTGCCCCGTGACAATGCTTACTGTGAATTAGGCACTCTGTGAACACCTGCTTCTACAAAGGTTTGGTTCATGCGAAGCTGCTTCCCCTATTTCTTTGAGGGTAGGAAAAGTGATAAATTAGGATCAATAATGTTGGAAAAATGTGTTATAGAATGAAATATTGCAGTGTTCACCCTGATGGAGAAGAAGCTGAAAGCCAAGCATGCTCAGTTGCTTAGTTCTGCTTTGGCTAGAAATTAATAGAGCTTATTAAAAGTCGTTTTGGTTTCAGGTAGCTATTTTAGGATCTGGTATGTGTTATGAGCCAAAGAATTCAGGCAGTCCAGTAGTAACATCTGTTCCATGTGCAGTAATCTGTCTGCTCTGCTTCCTAACGTGTATAAGCATTTGTATTTCTTTTTCTTTGTTCCTGCAGCTTGCAACAGTGCAACCTGGAATGAAGTTTCACATGTATACAAAAGAAGAGCTTGAAGATGTCATCAAAGATATTTGATGAGAGGTAGAACCTCTCCCAACTGCCTCATTCCCTGATCACAGCAAACTGAATCTTCAGTTTTTCCAGTGCCCGTAACTTTATTTCAGCAGCATGTAAGCCTGCTCTTAAACAAGGCTCAAAGATTTTTTTACAGTTTCTGTACATAAAAAAGATCTTCAATAAGAGGGAACTAGAATAAATCATTTTGTTACTCTTACATTGCTTCTTGTATAATAAAGTTTGGGGGTGGAGGAGTGGGTTAAAATTAGCACTGAATGAAATATGCATATTTTTAAAGTGTTTTCTTTCCACCCATGAAACTAGACATCTTTTTAAACTGTTGCTGGGGGCAGGGGTAGCAAAAGAAATTGAAATAGAATTCCCAGCTCCCTCAGTATACTCATTTTCAGTGCTCTCTTTCCTGGTAACCTTAAATTGCAATGGTGCTTCTGAGTGAGCCTCTTAGCAACTCTAATTCACTGCAGCTTCCTGTCTTTTTTTAAAAAAACAACCAAACCAAACATCCAAATCATCTTTCATCCTAGCAATGCTGACAACAACACTGTTTCTAGGAAGGCTGATCTGAAACACAGTCAGTGGCACTGTACCAACAGCTGATCAGAGCAATTAATAATTATGAAAAATGTATGCTTTAGGGGAACATTTTAGGTTCCCTGTCTTTTTCACGCTTGAAAGATTGCACCTACAATTTCAGTATAACATAATTAAAATTATATTTTAATTTTGGGTGTTCAGTACTGTTAAAATTGTACATTCTCTCATATGGCACAAGTGCTGGTGTCTGGTATCTAATGTTATTACTGAACTGAACTCTCTTCTGGACAGCTTTGTTAGTAATCTATCTTCCAGACATGTTGCATCCTTCAAAAGCCATTTCTAGAACTCCCCTTTCTAGCCATGCAAGTGGCACAGCACCCTCATGTGGAACGTACAATCTCAACAAGACAAAATGTTTCACTAGTGAATTGATCTAATTATGCATCTTGCTAATGTATCATGAATGCTTAAAAAACCTTTTGTAAGCAAAACTATCATAGATCTGAAACTTTTATATACTTGTGTATTCCTATGGAAAAGGATATGCATCTGTCCTATATAGGAACTCAATTCCTAGCTAAGGAATGTCTGATTTTGATGTTCATATTTTAAATTTTCATTTTGTAAACCATCTGGTCTGAATTTCTTTTTTGATATTTGATACTATGGCCAACTGGCATTTATTAGCTTTTTTCATTTAAGACAGAAGCCCATGGACCAGTAGCTTAGTTCACGTCTAATGCATATCTGCAGCCTATTAACATATTTAGATAGGAGAACAGATGTTTCTGATAATCAAGCAGCTGGGGGGGGGGGAGTCTGGAACAATCTTCCAAAGTGTTTGTTTTAAACAAAGTGTTAGTTCTAATTGCTCAAAACATTTGAGTAACTATTCGTTGGAAAGTGGGATACATTGTGAACCCAGCCAAATACTGCATTCTGCTCTGAAGAAATGGAGAGGGGAAATGGTGTAGGATGTATATTTTTGAGAAAGCTAAGAATTGTATGTCTTATTTGAAAGCTTGGCAGATATTTGCCTAGAACATCCTTAGTTCTAGAAAAAGTTTGCTGTTAGTGTATGTTGGAATCGGGTCCTGATAATACAGTTGGTGTGTTTGAAAGTTAACACAGCAATGACTTTGTATGTCCTAATAAGCAAAACTTTGACCAAGCTGAAGTTAATAAGCTCAATGACCAATAAACAAAAAGCTGACTGCTTTGTATTAGGATAATGGTTAACATATATCAGAAGGCTACTATTAGTGCTTTCTGTGTACCTGTAAAATAGGTGTGTCACAGTATAAGCTTCCATTGGGTTATAGAGATCTAGATGATGTAAAGCATCAGCCAAATGACACCCTAGATTAAATTGGTTTAGTGCATTCTACAATGAGAATTGTTTGTTTTAAAAATGTGATAAGGGACAAGAGTCCTTTCAAGATATAGAATAGTTCCCTTTTATCTAGCTTTTGGTTGGTTGGTGGAAAAAAACCCCTTGCAGTTAAGACAAAGACTGTTTTATTCTGTCTGAAATGCAGTCACTGGTACCAGCTACCATGTGATCCTGCCATGATTTCACTGAAGCCCTAAAGCACAACTTTGTTCTAATTTTATCTGTGGAGCAGAAACAAATCAATTTTGTCTACTGCAACTTGGTCAAGCAGCTAGATCTTGAAAATTGTGTGCTTTGTATGCAGAAGGTCTCAGGTTTGATCCCTGTTTTCTCCAAGCAGGGCTAAGAAGAGATCCTGCCTGAAACCCTGGAAAACTGCCTCCACTGTGGTTGACAGTATTGGGCTAGGGGTACTAAGGTTCTGACTTAGTACTAAGCAGCTTCCTGTGGTACTATATGAAACTCATATATTTAAGAGTTTATAGGTATAAACTCTTATAGCTGTAGGGCAAGTGTATGACCCTTTTCACATTTCAAATACAGATGGCTAAATGGGAAAATAAGCTATGTGGAGATCACCATTCTCTGAAGCAGTTATTTTCTTCCTACTATATTACAAATGAAGAAAAACTCAACTTCGTACCATTCATGCTGTACTTTTTTGAAAGATACTGTGTTTCCCTTCCTCATTTTCCTGAGTAAAATATTGGGTACCTCCTCCTAATGCTAAATACTACATGAGCTACTTCATGTAGTACTACCTCCCCTATCTAAAGGATCCATTTCATTGTGTGTGCCAATACAAATGGAGCACATTGCCTTGAGGGGGTTTTGAACCTGTTTATACAAAGCAAATTTTAGACAGTTAATATTCTATGGCCATGTCTGCTTCTGAAATAATGACAAACAAAATGCTGATGTCAAATTAGAGGCTTCTACTTTGGTATTCCACTCCCACTTATAATTCCTATTACCAAAAGAAGATATTTGTATTTTGCTAATGATTTGTATGCATATTAACTGCCACGGTTTCAAACTTTCTGTTGCCTATTTGTTTCATATTACAGATTCTAATTTGGTTGATTCATTGATAATTGTTATAGCCTATGGTCAACATAAAATAAACACATTTAATGGACATAGGCTGTGCTTCAGGTGAATCTTACAAATCTCACCTCATGACCAATTCCTGTAGTTCCATGCCTACTTCAAGGCTTGCTTGGGAAAACTTTCAGCCTAAGAGCCTGATTACATTTTGGAGAAGCTCTTGAAAACTGCATTCCAGTAGCGCTTGGAGACATTGAAAATGGGATGGAGGCAAAAGCAAAAAATGTCCATGTACTTTAGCTTAAAGCTCTTACTAAATCCTAGGAGAGGCATTTCAACCTTTTCAATAAGGGGAAAATGGCATCAAGATCAGGGGAAGGAGGTTGGGGTCACCCGGGGAAACCCTGGAGGTTGCCCATCCCTGTGCAAAGGGATGATCACGATTGTATTTCTGTACTGCTCAATTGCCGAACATTAAAAATACTGTATTCATAGCATAGAAATTACAACCCTATAAAAACTGCACAAATATTTATCTAAAGAGTGTTAAGGAATTTAGAACATGAGATGAATCTCTTAAGTACATGTTCATAGAAACAAAACACTGCACTTTAACCCAGTACAGCTTCCTACAAGCAGGTCATACCCAAGCAGGAAAGACCATGTTCTTTCATGTCTTTCTATTCCTTTATCTCAAAAGACAAGCTTAGTCATGTTCTCTATTTCAAATCATTAAGTGGTCTCCATACCTCTTGTGTTCTTGCCTGTGCTCAACTGTTCATAACTCTTCCCCACTCCACCATTCCACTTGTTCTTTACTTCACTTATCTCCCAATGACTGGCATGTTCTGCTGAAAACCGCAGCTTCACAACTTTTTGTGTTGTCCTTTTCTCCAAATATAGCATATGTTTGTACTTTCCTGAATTCCTCTTCTGTAGCTTTCCAAACCACTCTGCCTGTACTGCACCACTTTTTCTGTTGCCACAGGCCTTCTCATTTGCCACCTTCTCATAAGCCCCACCACCACCACCAAAAGTAATATTTAGATACCTACAGGTGATATCTCTAGGGATCCTTTTCTGGCATCAGAGAAATATTACCTTTCAGATTTTGCAGTGGCCGAAAGAGAGGATTTGAGATTGGATTTCTCCTTCCAAGGGCAGGCCTTTCTTCACTTTTGGAAAGGCATACCCTTTGGCCTCCAGAATGCCTTCCCAGGGACCCAGGATTGCACTGTTAGGTGGCCTTTTTGTCTGAAGAGCAAAATAGTGTTAAAGATTAAGTGCTGAGGAACTGTCTTTCAAAGCTATCACTTGGAATATTTGTCTACAGGTCTCCCCAAGCAACACAAACATGACCTAATAAACAATAAATTCAGTGATCCATGAAATGTCTTGTTTCTCTGCAGTTGTGGTGCTTTCCCTGCAATCAAACTGTCCTTGATCTACAGTTTCACATTGTTCTCCCTAGCACATTTATATCTTATCTCTGTAATAGTGGTTTATTTTCAGTCCTTCCCTAGTTTCTTGCTTGGTTTTGCTCTGGTGATGTAGTTTTTAGGAGCATGTTAAAATTCTTTAAAGGAATTAGCCACATGCTGAGTTCTTGACTGTTCTGGTCTTTCCTTCCCTCCTCCCTTGGTCTTCCTTTTAAAAATGCTTTCTATCTTGCCTCTCAGTTCAGGGATGGTTTACATAAAACTAAACCATAATAATGTGGCTTCTTCTACCTTTTCCAAACAGGACATTACTTTGAGATACTAAAGCATATATAGTACTTCTTTCCCCTTAAGACTGCAGTCAGCTTTACCATCCAAAGACAGGACAAAATAAGATACAGCAGCCATATGCCTACAGTAAATTCTCTTACAGTTCTTGAGGATACCTCTAAGGGGGGGGAGGGGAATCTGCATATTAAATCATTTAATGGGGGATTGTGTCAACTGTACAATCTCAGAGGGGAGGGGAAGACTAATCAAACTCTTGGAAATACTCTTTTTTATCCTACAGTGTTGTCATTGACAAAACTGACCTTTTAAACTGAGCATTTCTGTGTCCAACTCTTGACCTGCAAATTATTTAATGCTTAATCTTTAATGCTAAACTATAATATTTAATTGTGCAAACAGTTCAATAGAACTATTGTATTTTCACACAGAATACTTGCCTTCTATTTAGACATTCATACTTTACTAACAATATATATATATTCTAAAATGTATGAGAAAGATTGGCTATATTTGACATTAGATAATTGGTTAACTAGAGATTATTTGAATAATCATATACTCAGTCCCAAACAGAAGAAGTATAAGAGCCCAACATCCCTTGAGAGCCTTAAACTGAAGCTTATGGCTGCAGTCCTGCGCATACTACGAGTATGTGGGAACAACTCTCAAGTACTGTGGGTATGCCTGCATCCTTACACTCAAGGGTTCAATGGCCACTATGAATTTGAGTAAGCATAAGTTGAGGTTAGGCTGTGAGTCACTTCACATTTAATCTCTAGCATCATGGACTCTTGTTCTGCACTCTTCATACCACTCTAAAATTGGCCTGTTTTCATCTTTTATCCTTCCCCCACTCTAATACTTATCATTGTTTCAGCAACTTGTGGTTCTTGTTGCACAACACTGTTGTCTTCCTTCTCTGCCCCCTCTCCTAGTTTCAAGTTACAATGTTTCTGTTATATGCCAATTTCCTGTTCACAGTTTCATGCTTTATTTTACCTTTCTAGCTATGTAGTAACATTCATAAACCATTGCTATCTAGGCTGTACTGGTAACACAGTCACTGGGCCTCCATCTGTGTATATTCAATTGAAAACAAAGCAAAATGGCCGAGTTTTTGACTGATGCTCATTTTTTAACATTTAATTTCTAGCCCACCTCTCAATATAAGAGGTTCCCCATGTTGTCTTGCATAAAATGATAGAATACAGTAATATTTGGGCTGGCTCTCTATCCTTTTGGATATCTGTAATAGATGCTTATTTTTCCATTGCTTTAAGATTGCAGACCATTTTACTGCCTATGGCGGTAGAGGAGAAGCAAAGCTGATCATTTTCTTTGAGATACTTGTCTACATAGCAGTCCTCTACTCCCATCTGTAAAATGTATGTCCATGTGTGTAGGGCTTTAGTAGAGATTGGGAAATGTGTGCCTTGGGGTGAGGTGGATGTGCATGATTGTCCACCTGCTTGCACAGGGGCCTGCCTACCTGTATGGTCCCAAGAGTTCTGTGGAAGTCAGTGCATCCCCCCCCCCCCACAAAAACTCAACTGCCCTGCATGAGGTCCACTGATACTGATAATAAGCTGTTTCAAGATGAGAAGCTGTGTGAAAGCAAAATAATGCAAGCCTCCACCCAGGCCCTGTGAAAGGACAGTATCATTGTCCAGGATGGGTCGCAGCTCATTTATGGTAAGTGGAAGTGGCTTTAACTGGGAGCTATCTGTGACAAGCGTTGTTTTATTTTAGGACTGTATTATTGTAGGTTATTTGTGGTATGAATTTAGTCCTGGTTTCTTGGTTTGTTGTCTTTCTTCTTTCTCCCTCTCTCTCTCTCTCTCCATTGTGGGCATGGGGATCCAAGCAGATGGTTGAGGAGGCAATTGCTACCTCCCTCTCCCAGGTGCCAATCATGATGTCGATCTGAGATTAGCAATAGTGGCTGCCCCTGCTGTGCTTGCCCTGTCTATTTCTACTTCCACTCCCCCCCACCCCAGCAAGGCTCAGGACAGAAGGTCAGGAAATCAAATCTGAGAGGCATATTGCCCTTGATTTTAACCAGCAACTTGCAAGGTTGTAGCAGGCAGGCACAGCCATGCCAAAGCAGTTCCATTCTGAAAGCAGCAACAAAATCTGGTGCTGCACGTGCCTGCCCCATCTATCTCTGTGCTCCAGTTCTCTGCAACGTGGGTGGGAAGTCAGTGAATTAAACCTAGACTTATGGGGGTGGGAAGCTCTGCAAAGAGCAGCTGCAATATAAATGATAGAATGTAGACCTGGAAGGGGCGGTAAGGCTGACTTTTGGGCAATTCCAGCAAAGCAGCTGCGTGGCTCATTAAGCCTCTGCTTTGGTAGCCTCTGGATGCCTGCCTTGTAGTATGTGCAAACCACTCCTGTTCCATGGGGCAACAAATGGGTGGTTTTTCAGCCTACAGGTGAGGTGAGGTGGCAGAGTGAGCACAGGAACATTGCCCATCTGGGTAGTGATGAAAGATGCAATCCTTATGTATACTGGTTTGCTGTGAGTTAATCCCCGGACCCTGCCCCATAAACATGCAATTAGCCTTTTAATGTTGGTATGCTAAATCTTATGCTTTTGCTCACAAAGGATGAGAAAGTGCTGAATGAAAACAAAAGGGAGAGGGAGAGGTGACTATCTATCCCATGATGAGGACAGCTATCCCAGGTTTTATCTATGCTCATGAGCATCCTCAAAAGGGACAGTTAACCTCCTAGGAGTAATCCATAATCTCCAGTTCTCAGTATTCATAAAAGAAGCCAAGGAGGGGCAGGAAGCAAATTGCTAGCCCTTGGTACAACCAGAGATAGGTGGCAAAATGAACAGCCACTATTACGCCTATTCATTTGGTGAGAAACTAGTTCATACATTTGAGTGTATTTAGTCAATGAATGAAGTCACAACAAGTTATTCCACCCACTGTCTGACTGTATTAAACTTTCTGGGTGTGTGTAACCTTTTCCGGGGTGGGGGGATCCTCCCTATAAGGTGCTAATTGCAGCATCATTAAAAAAGATAGAAATACAGGAATTTCCTGTGTTATGAGCCATACTAAAAAGGTAGCAGCAAAGTCAGAAGTTCATTAACTTTCTAATTCAGTCTTAAGTTTTTTCCGCACCCACCATCCACCACCTTGGCAAAATTCCTGTAGATGTTCATGGTTGTGTGGCCATGGAAATACTGAGAAATACTTGATTTAAATCCTTAAGTTTGGGGGTGAGGGGTGGATGTATACAGTGAATTTTGTGTTTTCTGGGTAGAAGATGACAATATGCAATTATGTGTAGTAATCAGTAGGCTTCTGGCAAAAATGCTGATATGTTCTCTTTATGTGGTTGCACAATGCTGTCCAAAGAGTTTGCCAGGTGCATTGAATGTGCTGCAGCTCTGTTGGGCCCAGATCTAGTCATATGTTAAAAGCAGACCTATTGAAACCAGTGGGACTTAAATTCGTTATTACTGATGCACATTCCATTGATTTCAATGAGTCTGCTCTAAGAACTACATCTGGATCCAATCCCATGTATTTTCTGATATCAGGGTAAAGGTTGAGCTGAAACTGAACGGACCTTTCCAAGCAGTGTCTGAGAACTGACCCTCTAATACATTTGTCAGAAATTTATTTATTTAGGAAGCTTCTATGCCGCCCCATTTACCAAAGCCTCGGGGCGGCTCACATCAATAAATAAATAATCACAATATAAAAATAATATAATTTGAGTCGACCTGGCCAAGGATATAAAATAAATAAATATTAACAATTAAAATGACGTTTAAATAAAAAATCCATCTTGGCTTCTAATGCTACTTTTGAGATAAGATCAGCAGGACGTCAGCACAATCGATTGTTTGATCTAGTGAAGACAAGCCGGTGCCGAGAAAGTATGCGATGGGACGGCATACAAAAATTCTAAATAAATAATAAAGTGGATTTCTGGTTCATCAGCAGACTAGGCCTTCTACTGCAGATTGACCGACAACCTTGCTGCATATGCCTTTTCTGATTAACGGAGCCTGTTTGACCACCTCAATGGGCAAACAGTCTAATAAGACTGGAGCAAATGTTAATATGTGGCGCTTTGATCAAACTTCCATCACCACCAAGTCCTCGTCGCTACTGCAATCAAAGCCACGTCTCCCAGAAAGTGCGTCCTTCTGCCATTCCAGCATCCCTGTATCCATATGGTAGGCGGGGCACCGTCTCTCGGTTCCTCCAATTAAAAAACAAAACATGCAACGGTGGCAAGGCAGTCTAGCCAATCGGAGGATAAGATTACTCCCGGGATCCGTAAGGCGAAACGCTCGCAGGCAACCAGCCAATGGGTAAGGTGCTCTTCAAAGTGGGGTGATGCTGGCTCAGCTAGAGCACCTAAAAGGGGGAGGCTGGGGTTCGGGGTAGCCAATGACAGGGACGGGCTGGTTACTGCGCTGCGATTGGCAACCGTGTAAACCACTTCGGAAATAGAGGCTGGGCTCATTGCGCGAATGAGGAAGGAGCTGTCAGACGATGCTGGGGGGGCTGCTCGGAGGGAGATCTGATTGACGTCTCCCGAAGCCAGTGACTTCAGCACGTACCTGGTCCGTGTAGGCCAATGAGGCGTGAGGAGGCGGGGCGGCGGGGGAGCAGTCGCCGAGCTGCGAGGAGAGAGTTTCGTGGCGTCGGCAAAGATGAAGCTGCCGTGCTTGCTGCGCGCGGGGCTCCTCCTGCTGCTGGCGGCGCCGCTCCACGGCCGCGAGCGCGGGCTCGGGGCGAGGGCATCGCGGGCCCGGCGGGGGACACACGCGGCCGCGGCGGTGGCGGGATGCGGCCCTCCGGACAGCGGGTTCGGCTTGGAGGCGCTGAGGAACAACACGCACAAGGTGAGAGACGGAGCGGGTCCTTCTGGCTGCCGTTGGTAGCGGCACATACGTGTACGTTTGGGTGGTCGTGTGGACCGGCCGGTAATTGCCGTAGGTGAGGGACGGGGAGCAAGACTCGAGGTAGAAACGTAGCGAGAACAGAGGTACTGTCTGAGGTTCGATCTCTCCTAAATGTGCGAGCTACGCTTTAGGGCTCGTGCAATAGTAGTAGTGCCTCTGAACATGGGCAAAGTTCATTGTGATAAGCGCCGAGCAGACCTAAGGGAGTTAGGAGACAGGGCTCTTAGGCAAGGCGGCATATCGGTAAAGAAGGCTTGAGCCATGGCATCTCTCCGAGCAGTGCAACATTGCTACGCTTGTTTGTCTTTGTGAGGAAAGCCAGATGCACGTATGGAGAAAGACAAAAAGAGCCACACCTTCAGTTAGGTGGGAATAGTATGATTAGGTAGTTCGATAAACATGGGAGAGGCAGACACATAAATAGTTGTTTATGCCCTTTTGCCCCATTAGGCAAATTGCATCGTTGGAACAGGGCAGATAGAAGCAGACACACTTATATGGGAGTAGTGGAGGAAGAAAGGGTTAGCTACCTCCAGCACCTGTTCCCCAGTCAGATTAGCAGCCCCAGGTCTGGTTTAAAGCTGTAAAAATGTGGACAGTCCTGATCATGTATCACATATCATTTGACTTGAGAGCATTTTCTTTATTCCCCTTGAGGAGAATTGCTGTGGGATAGTTGTGTTAGTCTGTTGCAGCAAAAATATCGAAGAATCTTGTGTTTCCTTAAAGTGAATAGTTTTATTCTCAAGCCCACATTTATGGCCCCTACCCACTTCATCAAATGTGTAGGTAAAGATCATTGATATTCCCAGGGCTAGGGACTGCTTGGAATGCACTAAGTTCTTCATTGCACTGTGCTTCTTGTATTAAAGCTGCTGCAATGTTTTTTTCTGTTTGTGTAATTGCATTGATATAACATGGCTGAATGTCACTAGTATTTGAGCAGATTTTTTTTAAAGGCTGTCATATGGGTAAGATCAAAATTGATGTGTTCTGATGATCTGTTTTGCCTAAAAGAGTTCATTATGTGGTGGGTTGTACAACTAGTGATCATAGGATATATGCCAAAAATGTCCCTTACCCAGAGAGATTGTTTTTGAAGTCCATTATACATGAATACATTCAGAAAAACTAGTTTTTTTTTAATTTTATTAAAAATTTTAAACTAATACTAAAAACATCAGTCATCTAGAAAAACTAGTTTTACTTAATAATCAGCATTTAGTGACCACCCGTGTTGGTGTACTCTGAGGGGGGGGAAGTTCATTGGACTCCACTTGGCATACAATTTGTCTAACATTTCCTGTGCACAGCTGCTGAAAGTGAATTTCAGATTAACATGGTAGCTTTGAATTGAGTTTATGCTGAATTTGTCACCCAGCTGCTTCACTACATGATAAGTGAACCCCCCCCCCCCCATTCAGCACATCAGCATGGCAGTCAGTTGTGTAAATTGCTCCTGATAAGAGCAAACCTGGTGTAGAATGAAGCAGTGAACCAAGAATAGGGCTTTGTTGCTCTCTTCCTAAGTGTGAGGAAAAAGTTTGTAACCTTCTTCTGATTGGAGCCTATAACTTTTAGATAGAATACTAAGAATATTTTCTTGTCATGTTGTATCCCAAATGAGTATTACTGTACTCTAGCTCTGACCTCTGCCAGGCAATTGCTCATAAGGAGAATTTATTGGATGGGCTGGTTGGTATTGATTCAGATCTACTTTTCCCTCATTTTAACCCATCAGTACTTAACACAAGAATATTTGAAATGTTCAGGAAAATGTTGCAGCCTGTTAATTAAGAAAACTCTACCTTTTTCTTACTCCTTCCTTATCTATGCCTCATATTTTATTATTTCTTTCTGAATAACTTTACAATTTTTAGATTAAACTGTGTTAAAACTGAATTTTGCCTGTCCACCCTTTCATTTTTCTCCTTCGGCTTCTTTTCTGCTAGGATTGGTAAATTATTTTTTATACCTCTCAAGCTTGTGGCCTAAGTGTTACATTTGACTCTTCATTTCTTTCCCAAGTACTTATTCACTTACTAAACCTTGTGGCTTTCATTTTTGTCATTTATGGAATGCATCATCTTTGCTGTCATGATGCAACCAACACTCCTATTTACACATGGGTTATCTCTCAGCTTGACAGTTGCAACAGTCATCTCCTTGGGTCTTTTTGCCTTTTCTTTCAAACCTCTTTTGCCTTGAGTTCTTTAAGTTCCCCTTATTTGATCTGTTTGATGATATGATCGTAACGTTGTTACTCTTTCATTGGATCTCTCCTTTATCCTTTATTTTATTTTATGTTTCTGTTAACTATGTTTGCCATTTTAACCGTTCGATGTTCTCTTTACTTCCCTGGTGCTGTTGATATCTGTTAACCAAATTCTTCTGTGCCATTTTTTCTTGCTGCTCCATATTGTTAGAACTTTCTTTTTCCTTCTTGGCATCCATCTGGCTTCTCCTCTTTGGTATATTTTCTGTCAGACAAATTGGATGTACACTTCAACATCTCAGTTGTCAGCTACCTTTTCTCTCCATTTGCCTTGCCATGTGTGTTTTTGTCTGTCTTACATTGTAAGCCTCAGGGCAGGAGCTGTGTCTTATCTTTGTTATGTAAAGTACACTTGGAAATAACAAAGCTACACATTACATGCAGATGTATGTAACAGAACTCGGACAGATTTTTTTTAAGAAGAAAAGAAACACTCTGCTTAACCTTTTCTCCACCTGCCAGTTCTTTCCTCAAACAACCTTCTGCCCAGTATACTGTGTTTCCTTCTGCTAGGTTCTAAAAATGTGTTTTCTCTTGTGTACCTTAAAAGGGAATCTGGTTTATTCAGTGTATATGAGTGCAAAGAGTTGGAAATTTTCAGAGTGTGCATGCTTCATAAGGCTTTTCATAAACATTTTGGGCAAATTACTATACCCATCCAATATAATCCTGCCCTCTTTATCTTACTTTGGTCAAACGAACTGTATGGCATCTAAATGTTTTTAGTTAGGCACTGTTGTCCATGATGTCATGATGAAATAGTGTCCTGAAAAAGCAGTTACCATTTTATATCATCATCTAAATGCTTTATTTGTATGCCACTTTTCCAAATTATACTAATTAATAGATAAATCTAAACTGCCTAAACAACCATAGACATAAAATCTGTTTCATAATATTATACTCACATTAGCATCTAAAGTTTCTCTAAAGATCTGGATGCATCTTTTTTTCATTAACTATTATCACTATAATATTCACATTTTGCCAAAAACCCCTTCACTAATCCAAGCTATTAGTATGTCAATAGCAAATGCATTAATAGCAAAATGCTAGGATTTAAACCAATATCATTCAGAGATGATCAAAGAAGCAATGTTACAATAAGGCAAAAGAAATCAAAATGTGTTAATCTTAGTCAGCAAGAAATATGCTTACATATTCAAAGTGTCCACAGTCACTGCACAGGTACTGTAATCAACCACATCAGCCTTGTAAATAAGTAAAACTGAACTTCCTGGTGAATAGAATTGGATCGGCTAAAGAACTACATCTAGAAACATAGAAACAGAGCTAGTCGGAAGGGGTCTCCCGGGCCATCTAGTCTGACCTCTGGCACCAGCCGGCTCCACTCATGACATGCCCACCATGTGCATGTCCAGCCTATCTTTGAACACCCTCACCAATCTGGTTCTTGAAATGTGCTGTTTGGTTGTAACCTTTCTGAATGGAAATTGTGTTGATTCTGTATTTTGTGCAATACCTCATCTTATAAAAATACTGAAAAAGTTGTGGTGAATAGTGAAAAAGTAGATTTACCTTGCCTTATTTCTAAGCCCCATAAAGTGCTTTTGGGCCAATAAATTGAACGCCTTAACACACCCATTATTTCTGGTTGCAGAAGGCTATTTTAACATGATTCTCAGACTGTGGTAGTAGGTAACTTTTCTTAATGTATTAATCATATTTACAGGGAGGAACAGATTGCTACCAGGGGATTCATGGCACCTTCTACCATTTCATAGAATCATAAAATAAACAGGAGTTTTGTAGGCCATGTAATTCACTCCTCAGCTTGCTGCTGGGAATCCAGAAACAGAGCATCTCCAACAGATGGCTGCCCAGTCTCTGCCTGAATCTCCATTGTAGGAGAACCTCCTTCCCCCATAATTGGTTCTGTTTTTAATCTGTTTTTAACCTTCCTTTAATCTAAACCCATTAGATTAAGTTCTGTCCTTTGGGGTAGCAGCTATCACGTTTTTGCTCTATTTTTTTTTTTTTTTTTGGATGTGTAAGCTTCCCCCATTTTTCTGCCAAGAAAATGTCTCTTCTGTGTGACAGCCCTTTAGATATTTGATAAGTGTTAGGCTACCCTTCTGTCTTGTGTTCTCTCTTTTCTAGGCTAAGCATATCTAGTTCCTTACACCTTGTAGGACTTGTTTTCTGTACTACTGACCATCTTTGTTGCTCTTGTATGAACCCATTTAATTTGTCTGTTCCTTTCTTAAAGCGTGTTACCTAGAACTAGACACTGGACTCCAGATGAAGGCTGATGAGTACAGAACAGAGTGGAATAATTAATTATATCTATCTTGGTCCAGGATGCTACATACCAAATCTCTCTCTGCTCTCATCAATCTGTACCAGTGTTAATACTTAAAGAGAAGCAAGTTTTAAATCACTACATGCTTGTTTGTTTACTTCTCTTTTCTTGTCTCTTTTCACTAAGTCAGTTGCTTCTAAACTGATATTCATGTTGAATTGTAATTCCCCAAGATACTTGCACCTCTGTGTTTCAGAAAGATCCTATCAAGGAGAGAAGGCGAGAACAAGGAGAGTTTAATGATCAGAGAAGTAGAACTTTTACTGTAGTATTCTGCTATGGGAAAATCTTTATACTTTGGTGTTTTTGTGCTCTGTTATAATGATGCTGCACATTTATTCT